TTTGAAAATTATAAAAGTTTTCAAATATGAAATTATTCCCATTTCGAAATTTCAAATCTATAAATCTTTGAAGACTGCCACAGTACCGGATGAAATGAAAATCACACGAGTAACACCAATTTACGAAAATGGTGATACAGAATCCGATATGAATAAATAATTATAGAATTTTTTTCTTTGAGATAGTTTCGCTTCCTAAAAAATACTCGATTTTGAAGAGTTTTGTCACAGCATCCAGCATTATGGCCGAAAATATTCAATTTGTTCCTTATGATTTCAGTTGTAGGAATCTCATTGCTTTTGTTACAGTCGTATATTTTTTATAAATGACAATATTAGGTACAGTGGAGACGGGAATTTGGTTAAATCTGATGTTGCTTGTAATAGTTTGTTTCCCTCGAAATCAAACTTGACATGTAGATTCTTATATACATTGAAACATACTCTCTGTGATTCAATATTCAAATGCATCCGAATCGTATTCACTGATATCTCTTTTTCGCATTGTTCACCATCGCTATTGGAATCACTTCAGTGGAAAAAGTTTGCATTGTTACCCAAGGACAAGCTTTCGAAGGACGTCACATTTTAAACAGGCAACAAAAATTGTAAGTAATTGCAACTGCACCAATATCGAATTTCAACACTCAAATCGCGATCAGTTCCTGAACTGTACACGACGCCGATAACCAAGGCCGCATTCCTCGATTTCTATTCGTCACCGTAACCTGACTTCATATTCAATTTTATGACTCTTCAACCAATCATAAAACTCGGTTAGTAAAAATTATCCAATACGAAAGTCTACAGTTCACGTGGACTAGTTTGCTGCCGTTTCTTTTCTATGTATTGGTTTTTTTTAGCCTTCAAGAGTGCACAATATCGTTCACTTCGACTATACCAGTTTCGTTTCTGATATGGTGGTGGACAGACGTGTCGATAGCGACCGTCCACAAAGAAGATACGTGGACGCCATTGTTGGAGATGGAACTCAATTCGTGTTGTGAAAGTCCGCCGTTTTATAACGTGTCAGCATCAATGGTAAATTAAAAATAGAGTTAATAAAAATTGTATTTTAAAATGAATAGTACTCTCATTCACGCCGGTTAGAGGCCGAGGTGGACCGGATGTCCACGTGGGAGTTCTAAAGTGGAATAAATATATAACACCTTCTCCCATCACGCCGGTTGGAGGCCGGGGTGGATCGGATGTCCGCGTGGGAGTAGTATCGCAACAAATAAAACGTTTATGAAAAAGATGATAGTTTTATATGTATTGTATATGTCCGCCGTTGGAAGACGAGTCTACAAAAAAGTACAATTTGGGAAGAATAAAAAAGGGGTGCAGTATTGCGTAAAGCAAGGCCTTTGTACCACCTCAAATAGGCATGGCTTACTGCGCCTGAATGGAAGCAATCGCCAATAATAGAGAGAGAGAGTGAGTAAAGGTACCAATTTTATCCACAGTTCTATTCGATTGCCCATTGGTTCATCACACCTTTCCATGACGTATAGTCATGCGCTGGAATTCGTATTATTCCTTTTCAATATAATAATCCTACGGTTTCCATGTTGAGGTTGCTACGTGAAGGTTCTAAGAAGACCCGCCTGGAAATTTATCCATGGAAACATCTCTTTGAGGATTAATTTTCTTCAGGGATACGGTAGTTGATTTTTAATTATGACCTTTGATTACTAGGTGGTACTATAATTAACATGGTGTGTTGCAAGTATGAAAATATATTTTCATAGGGATCGGTTCTACAGAAAAATCAAAATGTTCAAGATTTCGCCAATTGGATGCCGATATATACTTAAAAAGAGTTGGAAAGGGATTCTTTGAAGTTTGAAGTACGGTAGTACATCGCACTCCATCTACTTTAAAAGTATTTCAATAACAATTAGAAAGGTACTGTCTATTAATTTAACGAAAATCGTGTTCAAAGTCCATCCCCTTCAATTTTTATACCAGCTTTAACATTTCCGTCTTCGTTCGTAAATAATAATTTCATTGTACTAAAGGGTTACGGTAGTAGAAAATCTATCATAAAGGTCGCCATATTTTTTTACAAATGACATTTATGTAAAAAAAGTATGGTGGTCACCCGTGACTGATGTTCTCCTACCATTTCTCTTAAATAGTTCACTACAATGTAATATTATAACAAAAACCTCAGCCTCAGCAACGGGTGGCTGGGTTTGCTAGTTTTTAGTATAATTTTATCACCTGCCAATGAACTCGAAGATAAATAAATTAATTGAACTAAACTGAATAGTGTTTTCATACTTTGTCGCTACCATGTTTTGCGTGATAATTAGTAAAATATCATCCTCTTTTGAACAAATCTATGGGAAGTTTTCTGAAGATGATAATTAATACCCAAATTATGTTTTTCAGGAATTTTACAACAAACATCACAATTTTCTCCTCGACACCTCCAAAATCCAACAAACTTACGATGATTGCATGGAAGAAGTGTTGAACAAATTCAACACTGTGAAATTTCAGTATTATTCGTGCAGACAAGAACACATGCCCATTTTCTTGACGATGTTAAATAACTTCAAAAAGTTCAAACATCAATATATTCGTGATTTTCGAAACAAGTTCTATAGACTTAGTATTTCAAGATGTACACTCATCAGTAAAAAAATATTTTCGCGGCTCAATGAAGATAAGGAAAACGTACGAAGAACATTTTACCAAATCTTCAACAAATTGAAGGCACTATATGGGCATCCAAGAAACAGAGATTTGTTGGAAGATCTTCGTGGCGAATTTAATACTATGATCAACGAAAATGAAGAGATATTTCAAAAAATCCCGCATCCGCTCATAGTGAGTACTTATAACATAGCGAGTATTATCTATTGAACTGGGGTATAAAAAACGTATGATAATGGCCACCGTTCAAAGCTATTTTCCCAAAATGTATGTTCAACAATATCGCCCATCGATCTGCTAGTATGCTAGTGTGCTAGATAACTCGATGTTTAGTGTGGTTTGTTTCTCGTAGATATCTGTATATAGCTGATTTTTATCTGATAATAAATGCTCACGGTATCTTATGTTGAAATTTCTGCCTGTCTGGCAGACTGCTGAGCAGTCCAACTCATTGTCTTTTCCCTGTTTTTCCTAAATACCTAATAATAATTCACGATCTTCATTTCGGCGTGATCGTTCTTCATCTCTTCCACGTTCATCTTCACCATTTCGGCGTAATCGTTCTTCCTCTCTCCTTCGTTCATCTTTCTCTCTTCTGCGTTTTTCATTATCCGCCATGCTTGCTTTCAAAGCCTCAAACATTTCCTCGAGTTTTTCCATTCCGTCGTAATCGACACTCCTTGTTTTCACCACTTCTGACACCAAATGTTACGTTTTTTACCGTGGGTTGACCAATTATTGACTACACCGAGCAATAATCAAACTTAACTTTATTTCACTTCAAATACAACAAACACTTCAACTAAAACTTCAACTATCATTCGAATGTCGTCTTAGTAGATCGCTTCGCGTACCGCACTGTAACTTCCACTTGACGGTGTCGATATGATCGTGGCTAGCGTTTATATGTCGTAATCGAATGCGGTTGAAAAGTCGCCGGAATTCCATCAAAGTCGGTAGCATTATTCTCGCTACATCTAGAGCGGCAGCGAACATCGTACATTCGCGCGCTCTTAGCTACGTCACAATTGGTTTATGACTACCAGTGACGGTCGGCGTTATTTTCTTCAGGGCATGATTAACAACAATATAATAGTGCATATGCAGATGTATTATCGACTATGAAAAGTTAGTTTTATTGTCCAGTCAAATTTTGACCACTATGGACTAGTTCCTAGTCTGTGATTTATCGGTTGTCTTCTTTGGGAGGCCCCCAAACGAAGAGCTACATCATTTTGTCGCATGCCATCTTGAAGAAGCCCTACAGCTCTATTCATCTCAGCCAATGGTAAGTGATGGCGTTCCATGTTAAAGCACAATATTTCCAGTTTAATTGCTGAGCAAGAACTGCATAGAATGTACAAACTCGACACTTTCAGATTATTCATTTTAGCCGAAAACCTACAGTTTGTAAAAAACTTGATA